TCGTTCTGATCCTAACATTTCACTTCACTTGCTGCCCAGTTCCAACCAGCCTCCTTCAATTTTCAGAACGTAGGTGTGAATAGCACTCCATCATTGATCTACAACATATGCCTTTATCCATTCATTCATTGTGGGGAACCTACACTGATTCCATAACTCAGCTACAAAGTATCCTTTATCGGTAACATGGATGTGCAGGTATATCAAATGGTTGTTGACTAACTTTCCTTGAGTGCGTACCCAGGTCAATAGAAATTTATCTTCTGGTAATTCTATTTTAATTATTGAGGGACCACCACAGTAATTACCATAGCAGCTGAAATAGTTTACATTTTCACCAATTCTGTAGGAGGGTTCCTTTCCCCAACATCATAGCTATAAGTGTGAGCTTTGGGCAGTTAAGAATTAGGCGAGCTCCACCACTGAGGTACACTGCAAGTTATCTTTCATGAGCCTCATTTACTATCCATACAGAGGATTAGGGAATTATAGTAAATAGTGAGTAGAAAAATTATGTCATTTCGCACAGTTACACAGCAATTAAACTCAAAAGTCTGAATTTAAACTCAGAATGACTTGAACACTTTATGGGTGCTTTTTAATTTCTTTAACACAAAATTTCTTTTGATTATTTAAAATTATTGTATATTATTTATTAATTCAAACCCAGAACATTGTAGAAAATTCCTAGAAATGTAAAATAATTGTATCTGTGTACTTTCCACTTTTAGAGTAGTTTAACACATAATGAGATAAATTCCTGAAGGACCCTCCCTGTCTCTATCTTGGGTGCTAGGTACTCCTGGAGGGAAGCTATAAATTGAGTAGAAATTTGAATCCCCAAAGATCCAATATTAGTTTGATAGTACCTATTGTAAACAGAATCAGAAATTTCTATCGTCCCGGGATTCAAGCAACCTGTGACCAAATCAAAGGAGCGAATAATATTCTATGCTGGTTCATTAAACAGATTTTGATTTGACTAAGGTGGTGTTTTAGAGGTTTTTTTTTTAATAGGTGTTTTTTCCTTCATGGAGATGAAAAGTCCTAGAGAAATTCTCAATCATAAATTAAGCTGTATTCTCTAGAGTACTTCTTTTGGTATATAAGAAATAGATCTATTCTGATGCTGTAACTTCCTTTATCATCAGAAACTCAGACTCCTTTGGACGTTCGGAAGGAAGGACACTTGTGCTTCAACAGCAGTGGAAATCCAGAACAAAGGTGAGCAAGGATTCATTTTGTCTTGAGAATGTTCCTTGAATTGTAAAGCTATATAAATCACGGATTCAAGAGCAGACCACTTGTTTATATCTCTTTTTAGCCCAAATCCTTAGTGAAGGCTAAAGAATGGAGGAAATGTTCAGTGATGTTTGGATTTCTATTAGCATTATCTCAGGACAGACACACAGACAGACAGACAGACAGACACACACACACATACACACACACACACACACACACACATATCATGGGTGGGGGAGAGGGAAATTGTAGTCCCGCTCTTTGACTTCCTTGTATTTCTTCAGACAACCATTATTTCTAGCTCTTTCTGAAGAAAGGATTCCTTGCTTATGTCACCTGGCAGTGATGTTCCAACAGATGCCACAAGTGAAGCAAATGGCTGTGGAGAATCACTCTTCAGTGACCGAGTTCATTCTCATTGGATTAACAGACCAACCCGAGTTCCAGCTGCCTTTTTTTGTCCTGTTCTTACTGAACTACTCAGCCACTATGTTGGGAAACTTAAGTTTAATGAGCCTCATTTGTCTGAATTCACATCTTCATACTCCAATGTATTTTTTTATCTTCAATCTGTCTTTCATTGATTTCTGTTATTCCTGTGTCTTTACCCCCAAAATGCTGATGAGTTTTGTTTCTGAGAAGAACACCATCTCCTTCACAGGATGCATGACTCAGCTGTTTTTTTTCTGCTTTTTCGGTAGTGTTGAGTGTTATGTGCTGACAGCCATGGCCTATGATCGCTATGCAGCCATCTGTCAGCCTCTCATGTACACGATAGTCATGTCCCCTAGGCTCTGTTCCCTGCTGATGTTTGGTTCATACTTGATGGCCTTTGCTGGTGCTATGGCCCACACTGGATGCATGATCAGGCTCCACTTTTGTGACTCTGACATCATCAACCACTACATGTGTGACATCATTCCCCTTCTCCCACTTTCCTGCAGTAGCACCTATGTCAATGAGCTTGTGAGTTCTATTGTAGTTGGCACTGTAGTTTTAGTATCTAGCGTTGTTATCCTAACCTCATATGCTTTGATTCTTCTTAGTATTTTTCGTATGCCATCAGCTAAGGGTTGGTCAAAAGCCATGAGCACTTGTGGGTCGCACATAATTGCTGTTAGTCTACTTCATGGTTCTGGTTTGCTCACTTATATTAAGCCGACATCTGCTGAGACTGTGGACCAGGGGAAATTTTTCTCAGTGTTTTACACTCTTGTTGTGCCCATGTTGAATCCTCTTATCTATAGCCTCAGGAACAAGGATGTCAAACTTGCTATGAAGAAAACCATAAAGAGAATTGCAAACTAACTGAATTAACTCTTGCTTCCCTTAGTCCCAGAGGCTTTGAATGTCCTTTTGTCTTTGTAATTCTATTCTTCATTATGTTTTCATATTATTTTTTAATTAGTATTTTTATTTTAGTTGTATGAGTATATTGCCTACGTGTTTCTAAGTGCACCTGCGTCCGGCAATACCTGTGGAGGTCAGAAGTGGTGTTGTATTCCCCTGAAATTTTAGTTAGGGGTGGTTTTTAGACACCATGTGGGTGCTGGGAAATAATCCTGGGTCCTCTGCAAGAACAGCAAGTGCTCTTAACCCATTGAGCCATCTCTCCATCCCTGTAAGACTCTATCTTAAGGTGGGGGTGGGGCAGAGAGGAGAGAAAAAAAGAGGGAGGGGAGAGGAGAGAGAGAGGAGAGATAGAGAAAGTCTGTACATAGATACAGGAGAAGGCCAAGTGACCACTGTATTTAAAGAGCTGCTCAAATGTTAAGAAAAAAACAGAATCCTCCACAATAAAATAGACTTCCAAAGCTGCTGGCATCTACAGAAGTTGCCCATGAGCCGCTCTGTGACTCACACAGGTGAATTCTCTAATCCAATAATTCCTAGCATCCTGTCCGAAACACACATCACAGGCTGGAAAAGGTTATGGGGAACAGGGCCCTGCCCTCGCCCATGGCCCTGCACTTCTGAATGCTCCTCAACACTCCCACACAGACCCTCCATGACCCTCCCAATCATCCTCAGCAATCAGGACTTTCTGCTGAGTCAAAAGAGTACCAGCACTCCACTGGGTTGTATCATTCAACTACCCTGAGGAAGTACACTTGACTCAGGAAACTGAGGCTTAAAAGGATTTCCATGTAACAGTAGGTGGCAGAGACAAAGGGGGTTGGGGCTGTTTTGTTTTCGAACAAGGTCTCATAGCCAGCCTGGTCTGGACCTTACTATGTCGCCCAGACTAGCCTCAAAGTCTCCATTCTCCTGCCTCAGCTTCTGAGTGCCATTGTGTAAAAAAACGCCACCTTCGAGTCCGGATGGCAGCGTGGCTTGAGGTGTGGCCTGGGCATCCCCTCCCTGAGAGCAGAGACTCCCTCTGCCATGCCCGGTCACTGCTGAAGGAAATGCAGCTGGGGGCTGCTGACGGGCCTATACACGGGCTCTCACTTCCTCCAGGGCCTGACCCTCAAGGTCAAGCTCTGGCACCAGCACCCTCCCTTTCCAGCCTGAGCACTGAATTCAGGAGACTCACTGTCCCCACCTGGGCCATGCTGGATGAGGACATCTGTTTGAAGGCTCTTGGCCTTCCAGACTAGAAGCTGGATGCATGTCCTGGTGTGTCTGGCAGTGCCCAGCTCCTTCTGCTGAGTGAAAAGCCTGGAGGTACCCACTGTGTTCACAAAGCCGGCTCCAGCTGGTGGGAGCAGCACTCAGCAGGTGCCGGCAGAGCTCACAGCGAGGAGACTGCGCTTGCCCCCTGGGCTGCCGCTCACACACCTGGGAGGGTGAAGCCCTCTGACACCCTTACAGAAAACTGACTTTCCCTCTCCCAGCAACTATTAATTTCCAATAGCTCCTCAGGTAGGGCAGAAGGTAGGCTGATCCTTTTTTAAAACCCACTGTGCATCTCATGAAGGAATGCAAACACAGAAAAAGAACTTTGAAGGAACAGAAATTAATTCTTGTAAGCTGACTCAGATTAAGTCCAAATGTTCCTGGGAATGGTGGTACCTACAAAGATGTCTGAAGAACAGAGCTTACCTACAAGGCTTTGACATCAGGTAAAAACACACACATGACCCTGAGTGCGTGTGATTGTAAACTGAGGCAAACAGGTGAGCTGCAATTCAGCTTTGTCTTTTTTGGTTCAGTGATCGTTTTCTGGGATGATGAGGTTGAGGAACTTTGCTCAAGATTCTGGTAAGGCATGCTACTATATTTTGAGTTAATAAACACTTTAAGAACCTTGGGATATTGTGTCTTTGTTTAGAAAGAGAAGTTAGTGATAAAAATAATAGAAAATTTTGTTCAACAATTGTTTTGCATGTCTTGAACAGAAGTCATTGTCTAATGTCCATCACTATCTTTGCTCCTTATAGTTTACCGCATTTACAGTTTATACATTTTATTATTATTATTTTTATTTTCTGTGTGAGTGTGTTTCCAGGATGTATGTGAGTGCACCAGTGTCGTGCAATGCTGCAGAAGTCAGAAGAGGGCTCCTGGAACTGGAGTTAAGGACAGTTTGTAACCACCATGTGGGTGCTGGGAATCGATCCCCAGTCCTCTGCAAGAGCAGTAAGTGTTCTTAACTGCTGAGCCATCTCTCAAGCCCACTTTATACATTTTTTTATTAATTAAATTTGTTCTTCTAAAATTTCATGCTTGTATTTAATACATTCTGATTACCTCACCTCCCACATGCTTTTATTTTCTCCCACACCTTCCAGCACTCCCTCCTCCCTAGAAATCCCTTTTTTATGTTCATGTCTTTTTGTTTCATTGTGTGAATGAGTTTGACCAAGGTTGCTTATGTGTTCCTGTATGTGGATCTATATAACGGAGCCTGGGGGGTGAACAGCTGAAGACAATGCCTCTGCTCCACAATTCATTAGTGACCAATAGTTGAACAAGGAGGAATGTTGCCCTTTCAACCCCAGGCCTTCCATCAATATCTGTGTGTCAACAGGCCCAATCTTGTACAGGCTTAGCAGAGGCAAACACAGCTGTTTTGAGTTAATGGTTACAATGGTTTCATCATTTTCATAAGATAACATTCTGTAGCCATTCCCCCTACATTTTGGCTCTTCCAATATTTCTGTTCCCCTTTAGGATGTCCTCTGAGCCTCAGAGGTGGTGGTATAGATGTCTTCTTTAGAACTGAGAGCTCCACAGTCACTAATTTTCATCACTTCAAGCAGCCAAGAGTCTCTGCATTCACTGCCATTCATCGCAGAGAGAAGCTTCTCAGATTAATGCTGACAGTAACATTTGTCTATGTGGATAAGCATAAATTTTTAAACACTATGTCAATTTAAGTGAACAACAATAGTAAGATCCCTTCTGTGGCCAATAGGCTGTGTAACTATAGGCCTGCTTGTTTAGTTATACACTGTAAGGCATAAATTTCCTTTTGTGGAGTGGCCTTGAAGCAAAACCAGTTTGCTATTTCTATAACAATCATGCCATTATTGTACAGAACCTTTCTGACACGTTGATATTGTAGCTCATATGATTCATAGCTGGGTAAGGCTGTTGATGCTTTCTCTCTCCCAGTAGGCTGCTAGCAAATTGTATCACTGTGGAAGCCAGTCAGCAGGGAGGAGGCTTTTAATTCAGTTGCAGTTTGATTTCTCTCTGTCTCATAACTAATGTGTGTAGTGTATTCAGCAATAGGGTCTTATCCTCTAGTCAGAGTGGGTAACCAAATCAATGGCAAGATACTGTGTTGTCAGGGTCGGGGGAACTTTGGGGCTTTCCTGACCAGCACATCATAAGGAGATATCTCACATTTGACAATGGAGTTTTGTTTCATAACTCATGATTTCTAGAAGTAGCATTATCCAGCCATGCTGGATGTCTATCTTTGAATTCTCTTTTAACTTCTTTTCCAATTGACTAATCCATATCCTCTTTCATACACACTGCACTGTGGTTATCCCTCTTAATATCTTTTGTCTGTCATTACCTCCCAAATGGCCCCTTTCTAGGTGGCTGGCTTCCACATCTCCAAGTTAAAGACACAAGTCCAAAGATTCAAAACAAGGATCCAGATATAACAGAGAAGATGTAGCATGTATCTTTCTGAACCTGGTTCACCTCACTCAGTGTAGTTTTTCTAGGTCCATTCATTTAACTAAAAATTCCAATTTTTCTTTTTCTTTTTTATTTGTATATATTCATTTGGTTTTCTAAGTGTACTATGTATATGTTTGTGTATGTGCATATATATACATACATATATATACATATATATGTATATTTATTCTGGTGCCCACAAAAACATGTATGTACATGTGTGTGGAGACCAATGTTAAACTTGAGTAGCTTCTTCAATTACACTCCGTCTTGTGTAATTACACTCCGGGATCTCTCATGGAGCCTAATGCTCACTAATTCAGTGATCAAATATTAAAAAGAAGCAGGCTCAAAGAAGAAGAGCTTATTTAATCTTATAGTTCAAGAGAATATAGTCTATTATGGTAGAGAAGGAATAATGACCGGAGTGTGAGGTTTGTCATAGTGCGCAACTCATCTGAAATCAGGAAGCAGGGACAGCTATCATAATTTAAGGCCTGTCATCAGAGACTCAGTTCCTTCATCAAATCCACACCTCTTAATTTCCACAGCCTTCTAAAACAACCACTTCAGCAGAGGACCAAATGTTCAAACCCATGTGTCTGACTATAGGGTATTTTATATATTAACTACAACTGGATTCATTTTGCCTTGGATGCCTTGGAATTTTTTCTTCTTTTAGTGCATCTGGGGTTATATCATTTGTTGTGTTTCTTTAATAATGTGTATCATTTAATGAAGTGTTTGCAATGTTCAATTGAGACTAGGCTGTATTAAAGCTCGGTTTCAATCTTCCCAGGGTACTTAGAATATAGCTTAGCTGCTAAACCCATCACCTACACATGTGGGATACAGGGCATGATTTCCAGCATTTCTCTGAGAGTGGAATATTAACCTCAGAAGCAGCAACAACTGATGGATAAGTCCACAATGAAAGTGCAGTAATAGTCAATTAAAAATAAATATCCATTCAATTATTTTATTTTCATGGAATAAAGAAAGGAGAGTAGCAGGTGTATATTAGACTATCAATAGGGATAGCAATGAAAAGTAGGCTATGTAAGGCAAGGAATTAGTGTAAGAACAAGAGAGTAACACAGAAGAAGGAAAGATCAATAGACGATGATGTAATAATGACTTACAATATGAACAGAATATGGACTAATTCATTTTACTTTACCTTGCACCGAAAAGCTATTGTTTATAAAGCAAATAAGCTCACTGAG